CCACCGCAGAGAAAGCCCTCCTCCGGGTACTTACTCTCCTAATTTCTTTCATGGAGGGTTCTCGGAGAAGGGACTCTCCCGCAGATCTCAAAGGGCGGTCGGGCATATACGGACGTAAGCGCTCGTGCAGGTAGCCAGGACCCAAGCCGTTTAGGGCTTTGTAGGTCATAATCAACACCTTGAATTGGGCCCGGGCTTCAATGGGAAGCCAGTGAAGCTGATGGAGGACTGGAGTCATGTGAGCATAACGCCCCGTCCCCGTCAGCAACCTGGCAGCTCTATTTTGCACCAATTGAAGTGTTCGGACTGTCTTCAGGGGAAGCCCCACGTAAAGCGCGTTACAGAAGTCTAGGCGGGAAGTCACCAGCGCGTGTGTCACCGTCGCCAGGCAGTCGTATTCCAGGTAGGGGCGCAGCTGATTAATCAGCCGAAGCTGAAGGAAGGCATTCCTCGCTACCGCTGTCACCTGAGCTTCCAAAGAAAGCTCCGGGTCGAGGAGTACACCTAAGCTGCGGACCTTATCCCTAAGAGGGAGTGTTGCACCATTCAGGACCAGGTCAAATCCACCCTCTCCGAAACCCGATCCGCCAAGATTATACACACTTTTGTTGGCAGGGTGATGTCTCTGCTTTTTAGTATGCTGTCTAGATTTGCCATAGCTTTCCTCCCCAGGAGCAAGCGTCTTTTAATTTCTTGGCTGCAGTCCCCATCTGCGGTGATCTTGGAGCCCAGGAAAATAAAATCTGTCACTACCTCCATTTCTTCCCCATCTATTTGCCAGGAAGTGAGTGGACCGGATGCCATGATCTTAGTTTTCTTAATGTTAAGTTTCAAGCCAACTTTTGTGCTCTCCTCCTTCACCCGCATCAAGAGGCTCTTTAGTTCCTCTTCACTTTCTGCCATGAGAGTCGTATCATCTGCATATATGAGGCCAAAATACACTGGTACTATATTGATCCATTTTGCATGGTTGGCTTTGCTTGCGACTCAGTGATTCTCATAAAACTGTGTTCAACTCTCAGCTCGAAAGAAATTCTACAGCCCTGGCACCCAATCCTGGCTTAAGTGTTTTGTGCAAACCAGGGTTGTTGTATCTACACCATTCTGACTTGCTAAAACTATGACAAGAAAAACATGCTTCCTTCAGACCCAGCCACCAGTGAAAAGCTGCTTTGGAGAGATTCTCCAAAATGGATTTCAGTCCTCAGGGTGAAAGAGATTCAAACTCCTTTTCTCTCCCCTTCAGACTGGTCTGCTCTCAAATTTGAAGCTTGCAGCCTGGTTTTGTATTTCATCAAGTTATTTTCTATAATTTTTATAAGATGTATGCCATAATCATGGTACAACTGATCTAAGATTGTTCTGTAAACAATCCTTCGATACATCTATATCTTAATATATTACTTCATACATCGATGGTATCTACATTTTCTCAAGAATATTTTCCGTAAAAGAACTCCATACACGTTTTCCCTCCAGTCATTCAGAAAATTAATCACAACACTATCTCTGCTGGATCTTGCCTTAATGATAGGGTTACTTTACACATAAATTTAACATCCTGTATCTTCCAACACCTTTCTTCCACAAATAGTATACAGTTTTAGGGTGGCAGTTCTTCTCCTCACTCTCCTTTTGGCCCCTGCTAGGAAATTACTCCTCCTTTTCCATTTCCTTCCACAGCTATTTTCTCAGAAGGTTGAACAAAAACTACCTGTGGTGCAGCGGTTGGGATGCTGCGAGTTCCAGGATCTAATCCCCAGATGGCCACGGAGCAACCTGGATAGCACTGGGCCCATCGCTGACTCCCAGCCTAACCGACCTCACAGGGATGTTGTGAGGATAAAATAGAGAAAAGGGCAGTTGTATTTAACAAGCAGGTAGAATGTAATTAATAAATAGGCTGTTGCACAGATCGTATTTCTTTAGTCTCACCGATTGACTTCTAGGAAATGCGTGACTTGCGACCAGTTGGGCTCCCCATGGCATCTATTTTAACGGCAGACAAGCTTGTGCCTCTCTCATGATGGCAGCCATTTTGTAGGAATGCCCACGACAGCCTCGGCATGCCAAACACGGCCCGCAGACCCCAGAAGGATGGTGGGCCCATCATGGATCTCACAAGTGGCAGATTTTCTCCCCTGATTTGCTTTTGCCAAACATCACACCCTTTGAGACACGTTTTAGAGTTAATGCTCCATCTGTTAATGTGTAGAGGGAGGGACGGCTGGAGAGGAAGAGAAGCCAAGCGCTATCGCTCTGATCTTATTTTATTTTTGTTTTTGAGCCCAGCACTGTCAATAAATGTTCTTTTAATCCTTTCCCATTGCTGCTCTGTTCTAAGGGAGTTCCCTTTTTGGCAGACCTGCTCCAGGAAACATTACCAACACGCATTTATCATAAGTGGATCTGTTAGTCCTCATTAGCTGAATAAACAGGAAAGTATTTGACTCAGAGCTGCAGTGCCCACAAGGGTGGTGGGTTCTCCTTGGCTTAAAAAGAACCCTACGCATCAGGACAGCTCTTGGGATTGTGGCACCAATAATTGGGGTAGCCAACTGGAACGGGGTAACCTGGCCAAGTGTTCATCCGCGCATGGAATCAAGGTTCCCCTTTTATTGGGCTCATTTGCCATTCAATTTCCTCAGATTAGTCTGTGGCGAGTGGTTCTACCAAGGGGAGGGCAGATCCAGTGGTGGGAAGTGGAATTAGGAATGAGGAGGCTTAGGAATGAGGAGGAATGTCGTAACAAGACCAGCCGTTTGGCAGCCTCCGGGAGGCTGGTTGGCTCTGTGTCTCTGGAAGTATTCCAGCAGAGACGGCTGTGCCGAGGTCTTCGCACTGATCCTGAGTCCCTCCCAGCCCCACCGCGAGGAACCACGCCAAGACTGGAGGAAGAGCAGTACATGGAAAAGCTGGGATAGAATTGGGATCGGGATGAAAGGTTACCTCTTGTATGGGGCTCTCGACGCGTTTAAAAGGGCTTCGATCCAGAATTGATCAAAATAGGGGACGAAAATCTCGGAATAATTTAAGCACTTTAGCCAAGTATCACAAAGCGGGTAAGAGGAGAACAAAACATTTCTCCTGAACACCCTTCACTGCAAGGGATGCGATTTTAAAAGCACAGATTTACATGCAGGGGCTTAATATTGAGTCCCACGTGACTCCAGTCCCATTCTGGTTTGCATTAAATGTTTTGGCTGCATGTTACATTCAGGGTGTCTTGTGGGATTGGACCAATTTGAACGCTCCTCAAATGTGTAACAGTGCATGGATTTAGGGCAGCTGGTCCAGCCAACTTGTTGAAGCTAAGCTGGCCTGTCAGTGCCTAGAGGCACCAGTACGTCCATCATCTGAGGCAGTGTGCCCATGTTCCCCAGTGGCTGGGGAACATAGGCAGGAGGGTGCTGTTGCATTCATATCCTTCTTGTGGCCTCTGTGTGGACAGAAGACTGAGCTGGCTGAACCCTGGCCTGATCCAGGAGGGCTCTTCTTAGGTCCTTATGACCACCTAAAGCCTCCATGGACACAGTCTGGAGTCCTGTACCAAGTAAATAAAAACCCACCCATGTCCTTCACCAGGTCGGCAGCAAAGCCAAGTACAGTTACTTCTAAAGTTCTTGGATCATTTCTATCACTCATTTGTACCAGCATAATTACTGCAAATCACCCTTAAATGAAAATGGTTGGATCTTCAGGCTCTATGACCGCTGTGCTATTACATAATCATTAGCTGCATTTACACGTAAGAGTCCACAATTTCATGCGTGAAAAGTGAGGTTCACAAGTGCTCCCTTCGTTTTTCACTCTGCCAAGCAGCGGGGAGAAAGCCTCCTGCCAAGTTTTGCCTCATTTCCCCCAATTCCTGGCTTATTGTTCCATGTGAACTGGGAATGGTGGTTTAGAACAAACTAGGGTTAATTGCAAAATCAGTTCATTGCACCCCTGAGGGAGTATTCAGCCATGATGTTGGGATTGCAGGGGAAAAGAAGCCAGGAATTGGGGAAAGCCTTCTCAGGCTGTGTGAGAGAAGAAGCACAGGGACTGGAGACTTTGCTTGGACCCATTGCAAAGGTTCCGTCATGGACGGAGAGCCTCAGGTCCAGAGCCCACATCCATCCCTCTTGGGAGTTCCCAAAGGCCGTGCCCCTTCTCTTGGACACACAATCCTTTCCCCAACTGTTGATGATTTGGCTGTTTCCCCAACTTTGGACGTTTGTCCCCATTCTGAAAAGGCTGAAAGGCCTTGCCCAAGACTTACTTACCAGCAGTAAAAGCTTTAAGCTACAACAGGCTGGTCTTTGGGGCTATTTTGGCCCCACATGTTTTGCTTGTAGCCCTGCTTCTCTCTTGAGATTGTTTTTCCAAGACAAGATTCAGCCTTTGGTCTAAAACAGCTTCCACAAACCTGCACAGAATCTGGACTGAGTGTTTAGTGATTGCCACTGATTATCTGATATCGATACCATTAGACATTTGTGTAAGTACTACAGCATGAACATGAAGCGTGCTGTTGCCAAATTTCTGTACTCTGGAGATGGAAATAAAACAGGGTTGAAAAGATAGGAAACTAAAGGAGACAAGCAACTTTAAAGGCCTTGTATGGTGGGTCTGGGGGCTCTGTGGCTTGGGTTCTGTACTATGGTTAACACACAACCACAGTTTAGCACGATGTTTGAATGGAACACATCTCTTCATGGCCCAGCTCCATCAAGCAGCCCTCCAGATGTTGCTGGACTGCCATCCCCTCACCCCCCCCCCCCAGCTTTGCCAGCTACAGCTAATGGGAGCTGCAATCCACCCTCTGGGGCCACACGTTGGGCAAACTCCACCTCACATTATCTGTCGAGTTTTGTCGTTCCTAAAGTGCTGGAAAAGTCAAGGAGAAACAATCTACAGGGTTCAGCAGGGGGAGAAACTTCTGTGGATTCCAGTGCATTGGAACATTACACTCCCCCTTCCTCCCAACCCCAGCCCTGCACAAATTAACTAATATATAGGTGGGAAAATGTACTTTATTTTTGCCTGATCCCGGCCACAGTAAATATAAAATGAAAATCATTTCCACTGGAGGAACCAGGGTTTTCTCAGGCTTGTCTACCCCAACATGTGGTTTAATACACAAGCCATCATTAGGTGGGACCCAGTGGGCAGCTGGCCTGGCTGCATTTCGTTTTTTCCCAGCTTTGAACACACACCAAATTATCCGAACCGTCCACCAGACCCTTTGACATTTGCCCGGCCGATTCGGTTACAGAGGGGCCATCCCTGGAGAGCACCAAGACAGAGTCCATCCGAAAGTCCACCTGAAAGTCCACCACCTTTGCCATCAGGTGCAGCCCATCGGTGTCCAGGAAGGGCTGAGGTGGAAGTGAGGAAGCGTCTCGCCATCACCCACCTGTTGGCTGGAATTCCAAAGGCGCGTTCAGTCTCTGAAGAGCCTGAGTGGAGACCATCCCAAGATTCCCGACCACGAGAAAGATGTGCTGGCAACCCAAAGGGAGGAATGCAGAGATTCAGTGGATTGGGACCACGCCCTCCATGTCCTCAGGTAGAGTCCTCCACTCTCTTGGCTGCCGCCAGAGCCGCCCGATAGCTTGGTGGTCCCAAGAGAGGAGAAGGACATCGCTGCACCCCCACAGCCTCTTTGGACGTGGACCACCAACAACCAGAAGCAATGACTGGCCAGATGGAAGGAGAGCAGAAGTTTTATGGAACAACGCAGGGGGTCACTGCCTTGCAAACTGCCGAACACCAAGGCCAAAGGAACCAGGGTGGCCAGATGCATGTCCCATCACAACTCGTCCCATCTGGCTCCTTGGCCAATATCCTACCTCCTCCCCTCAAAAAGGCACACACACACAGGAGAGAAGGGGGAGCCATGGAGCGCCTCCTTTACATGAAGGCTGTAGGTTCGATCCCCAGCTTCTCCAGGCAGAATCTCACCTGAAATCCCAGACAGACACTACCAGTGCTGACAATACCAAGAGGGACCAAGGTTTGATTCCAGGACTGGCGCCAATGGTAGGCATGGTTGACACATGCCAAGGGCCTTCAGCACATTGGGGGCTCATTGGTAAGAGCTGCCTGGACTGCCTCTTCACCATTGCAGGCACTGCCTCTCCCTTGGGGCAGTTGATGGTGATGGTGGTGGGAAAGAGGGACCGAGATGCCCCTGCTCCCAGGTTCTCTGCCCACCGAGCGAGCGAGCGGCAGCCATGACGAGAGAAAGGTTGTGGAGCAAGAGCGGCTGGCGGAAGGGAGGTGAGAAGGCGGCTCACCAATGGTGGGGGCTTGGCCCACGGGCTGTGCAAAACAGAGAGCAAGCAGCGTCTGCTTCCACTGACGCAGTTTCCTGGGTTCATACAGACAAGCTGGACACTAGTCTTCTTTTCAGGGCAAAAGTGATCTAGCCCCACCTGAAGGCTGCACTTGCCCGTGTAGCTGAAAGGAGCAGGAATCAGTCACTGCGGTCCGATGGCTGTGCAAGCGGAGGTGGCATTTCAGGTTGGAAATGGGCTGGAGCGTTTCCATTTATTGAGACAAACGCACCTTCCTGCAGGTAGAGAGCTAGCAGGCAGCAGAAAGACGCGCACTCACTTGGCTTCCCTAATGTGCTGGTTTTCTACCTGCAGGGCGTTTTCACAGCAGGGAGCATGTGGTGCGGGGAGTGCGCCTGTGAGCCGTACAAGAAAGGGCTGCAGTGGACCCACCAAGGAACACGAATGCTCCTTTTCAGGGCTCCACAATGGGAGAAAGGTGGGTTAGCAACATAATGAACAGCTCTGCAGCACAAGTCAGCAATGATCTCTGACCATAACTGTCTTGTCCAATGGCACAGTGATGGGCAAGGGAGGGGGTTAACAACAACCAAAAGTTACTTTAATTTTGCAACACTACCCATTTGATTATTTTTGTTCAGAAGGAAAAGGAGGAGGAGGAGGAGAAGGAGAAGGAGAAGGAGGCATCTGTCTTGACTCATTTTAGACAGCATCTCCACCTTCTGGTCAAGACAGAAATAAGACAGCTCATAACTAGGAAAAAGAGTTGCAATGATGAGGGAAATGTGGGGACAACCCTGCTTTGTTTGGGTCCGGCTAGCAGAACCTGCAGGAAAACGTAGTGTGGAATGCCGCAGCTTGGGGTTCTAGCCACGCTAACCGCTTCTCAGGTGCTCCACGGTATTCGCCCCTTCCACTGGTGCTTTGGTAGAGAGGGAGTAATCTGTCCCTTTCTTTTTAGGTCTTCAGGAAAGTCTCACTTGTCTTTGCTGGCTTTGCTTGGATTGTAGTCTTAGCCGCATGGTTTAAATTACAGTGTTTATTTCATGAGCTGGATTTTGGTTGTTTTCTTGCTGGTGTTTATTGTGTTTCTTAACGGCTATGTTTTTATTGCTAAATAGATGGCAGTTTGAGAGGGTCCCACCCTTAAACATAGGCCCAAAGGAATTTTTCCACTGGAGAAGACAATCATGCGAGGTAAAGTTGAAGGCCAAAGAAGAGGAAGATCAAACATGAGATAGATCAACCACATAAAGGAACCCACAGTCTTGGGTTTACAAGAGCTGGGCTGGGCTGTCAAAGACGGGGTATTTTGGAGGAGTTTCCTTCAGAGGATCGCCATAATTGGAGAGGACTTGACGGTGTGTAACAACAACAAAAGGAATTTTAAAAGTCTACACGGATGTTCTTCATAATTCTGCATGAAGAGCATCTAAGTTGGCAGCAGCTGCCACACCTCGTCAAAGCCAGTTCCACAGTTTCTTCCTGTGATGTAACCTCGGTGCTCTCAGGATGTGTTGGACTGTGAGTCCCATCCTTCCCGGCCGACGTGGCTTGTTGGGAGGGGTGCTGTAACAGGTCCTCCGTGTGGTTCATGAAGTGCCGACTCCGGATTTCTGGGGTTCCTTGGGAAAGCCACCCTCCGCGGGCTGCCTCCCTTGTTGAGGCTCGCCCTTTCTCACCACCATGGTCACCGCCTGCTCTTGCTCCTCTTGTCATGGCCTGCACTTGATGGGCAGAGACCCAGCATCTGCTGCTCCTTCTCACCACCAGAGCGAGAGGCAGGGCCAATGGTGCAGCAGAGAAGCCACTCCAAGCAACTCCTTCCAGTGCAGCCCTGCTGCGAAGTGGGCCCTTCTTTTCAGCCCAGTGATGCCTACCCCTGGCATCGGCTCTGGCTCCACAGGGCTGAATGGTCTTCAAGCCGGAACTTTAGCAAGAGCCAAAATAAAAATGGATATGACAGACCTGCAATGGCTCCTCTGCCTCTTTCTTCAGATCCCTTCTGCCAAGTGCTCTTCCAATTACTATCCAGGGATGGCAGCTAACCTCAGCAGCCGGTGACGGTGGGATCGGCACCTGACCGCTTGGTGATGTGCAGCTTGGTGACTTCCTCAGCACACGTCGGATGAATCCCAACCGTCGCCATCATTTGTGAATAGGTAGCCCCACACCTACAAAAGGAGGAAGACCGACACAGTGGAGGGGGCACCCCTGCAGTGATTGTTCTCACTTCCAACCCAGTTGTAACACCAGCTTGCCCAGGGTGGCCTATTCAAGTACTACGGGGTTTTCCACGTTGCAGCTTTACTGAATTACCTCTTCAGTTAGTCATTTCCTGTTCTCTGCTGGCAAGCTTTTAAATAACTAGAAGAGAACAGGAAATGACTAATTAAAGGCATTCTTCAGCAATGCCATGGCAGAGAGAATGTTGTCCAGCATTTCTCACCATTCAACTTCATGAGATAACCCCAAGTTCTAATACTTTAAGGTATTTTCCTCTTATCTAACATGTACTGTTTCATATACCTCTATCATGTCTCAATTTACTCAATCTTTTTCTGAGCTGAACAGCTGCAAACGTTGTAACTTTTTTTCTGATATGGGCCTCGATCCAATCCCTGGTCATACTCCTTGTTGTGTCCTTCACCTTCTCCAGCTCTGAGGTGTACTGACCAGAACTTCTTCCAAGTGTGGTCTTGTGGCCTAAATTCTTGGCCTATTTTCTGTATTCTAGATTCGTGGCAAGAGAATAGTACGCAGATGCCACTCTTTGACTTTTATTCTTTCAAGTGCCAGTGACAATGTTTTACATGCCCCTAGGAGAGGGAAAATGCCACTTGGATTCCATGTACTTCCTTTGTACTAGATATTTTGGATAAAACACGACCTCCCTTAAAGGTCACCTTTCCTTACACCTGCCAGAAATGTGCTGCTAGCAATTAAGAGACTGCAAAACATATAAGGAATCTTCACACACAGATCATCTACGCTCTCCAAAGTGCTCTTTCGCGCACGCCGGCTTAACCTAGTTTGCCTTGCCTTTGGTTTGATTTCTCTGCTGTTCCCACCTGCACGGAATGGGTAGGAGCTTTGAGCCACTGTTCTGCCCGAAGTGACCTATTTTAAGATAACGGGGGGCAGAAAGACCCAAATCGTCAACTAACCCTGGAATATGCAGGTGTGCATCCTCTCTCCTCCGGTCTTATCCCATTTGACCAGTAGAGGGAAGCAGCGACAAGGAAAAGGAACACGGAATCCAAGCACAGGAGGGCTCATCCCATAGGATGGCCATCGCCAACCCAAGGCTAGCCTGGCCGGTGTTTTGAAGGCAACCATTGATGGATAGGAGTTGTTTAATTGCTTCCCAGAAGAGGCGAACAGAGCACGGAGCAACGGCGCTACGCAGCGGCTTCTGGCCTGATTTAAAGTGCCAATTTCAAGCAGCAAATAGGCAAGGGGCCCTGTTAAGTCTGCGATCCCAAGAGACGGGGCCTTTTCTGTGGTGGTCTCATCGGTATCGAATGCCCTGCACAGGAAATGGGAAACGCTTGTGCAGGAAACTGGGACACTAGGAATGGCTTTGGGGTGAATGGGCTGGCATGGGCTCAGGATACCCTGTTCACTGACTCTGGCCTTCAGGCCATTGTTTTTCATGTCAGTCTGTTTGACAGGGCTTGAGCATCTGGATTAAAAAAGAAGTAGATCCTGTGAGCTTGAAATTTGATTTAAACCAGTGACCCATGTGGAGTCTGGGGCACCAATGTCTAAACTTTGATTATATATTGAATTAATATCTCATATAAATGAAGATCTATTTAAGTTACATTAATATTTAATTACTATATCATATGATTTACATCATTAACTAATATTAACATTTAATTCCTCTATCATATAACTTATATCATTAACGAATACTAATATTTAATTAGTATAGCATATAATTTATAGACCGCTCCATGTTGAGAGAGATCAGCGCTATGTGCAGTAAATTAAAAATGCAACACGCAAAAAGTTAAGGCAAAAGCAAACGCATTGTGATTATTGGGCTGGAGTTTACTGGTCGCTCTGTGGTAGCCATGCAAAGAACTTTCTCGCAGCCATTCTGCGACACAAGTGTTTCCATCAGAAGTCTCGTGATTGGCAATTGTGGCCACTCTGATGTTTTCAACAGATCTGACCATTGCAAGGCCAGGGGGAGAGGAATAAGAGCTTCAGAGCTGAACGGGGGAAGCAGGGAAAACTCGAGCTCTCTTCTGAAGCAGACTGTTTCTCTGTCAAAAGAGGGGCCTCCCCATGAAACATAATCAAAGCAAGCTTCTGCTCACACACTTTCTTTCTTTCAAGAAGGGCTTCCAAAGTTTCAATGATCATTTATGATCTTCAGAACAGAAAGCTCAGAGAACCTTGCTATATTTGTACTTCGAAGAGTTAGTGGCTGGATTTTATTTTGGGTCGAGGGGGTGTTGACCGAACGGTTTGCCAGGGAACATATTTCATAAACATAAATATGAAAATCCAGTCTGTCTGTCACTAAGCTCAACATGTATTAAGAAAGAATGGCCATATTTTAAATGAAAATCTAGGAAACGGGACATAAAAGAAACCCAAAACACAAACTCTTTTTTTTTTTTTTTTAGTGGTGCCAAAAAAATGAAACCACTATCTTTTGTAATCTTACAGTAACTTAAAAGAGCAGGTTTTAATTCAACCAGAGAAAAAATAAAGACAAGAAAGGAAAAGAAAAACATTCTTTATACTTACTTGATTCCAAGGGCAAATCCCTGAATAACTTCGCCGGCATTTGGACCAATGAAATGCAGGCCGAGAATTCGCTGTTCTCTCTCGCGCAAGCATACCATCTGAAAGTAATCCATGAGGGTAGGAGGAACGTTGAGAGAGAGAGAGCGAGGAAATAACCTGCATTAATTTAGGGTGATGTAAAACACATTCGGGAACGTGCTGTATTTACACAGCACCCCGGAGCTCAGGGCTGTGAATGGTCTACCACTCCATCTGTGCACCAGGTAAGCCCAGGCGAGCTTATCTGGGTGCATCCGGAGAAACGGCGCTTTAATATATTTTATACGTATACGCATGGGTTCCTGCCACACCGCTGTTTTAAAAGCAAAACCACAGGGGGTTCTGAAAGGGCTCCTAACCAGTTGATAGCTTGTAAGTTGCGAGCTCTGGAGTTGTCAAGTTCTCAGCCAAGAGGAAGGCGGTAGGGCCACCTGGAGAACAAACGTCTCTGGATCAGAAACAGATGCCACCATCCTTGGGCGGGGGGAACGGGACCAACAGATTGTCCTTGTTCTCAGCATAGAACGGTGAGTGGAGTTCAGTGACCGACGGCTCCTGGGCCAAATCCAGATCATAGGCTGGAAGCGCTCAGCTGAGCATAGTGCTTCCATCACTGGCCACGCCCTGTCCTTTCCACTGGACCGCCAGAGATTGAATAGAGAGCTTGGGCTATGGCCCCGTCCCTCGCTCCCATGCGCCTCTACGTGCGCAGCTTTCTGCTGCAAAATGAGACCAAAAATAATCTACAGAAGAGAACTGCAAGTAGCATTAGTAGCTTTTCTCAATGAGTCATGTATTGCACAGTCCAGGTTTCTTCTTCACAGCCATTTATGGGCTCTTCAGACAATGCTGTGACCCTCCGGTTCCATTTGTACTTTCAGAACACTTTCCCTGCGTTTGTTTTTTCAGAACAGGGAACATGCACTATTAAAATTACGATGGGGAAAACGGGACTCTGTCTCCTGGTGTATTTCCGCTGTTCCACTACAGCGCTGCTCCACCTTAGAGGTAGTCTAGTGTAAAAGCGAAAGCTTCTGGCGTAGAGCTTGGATCTCAGAGCTGTGATGAACCCGGAAGTCGATACAACGGCACAATGAATGCCTCACGGAGAAAAGCCCTGCGTCACAACACCTTTCAGAGCTGGGATGGAAGCTGAGGTTTGGCCCATCGTTTTCTGAAAGTGACTCTTCAGCAAAACCAAGCTGTGATTCAAAATCTCAGCTGCAGGGACGGGCAAGCTGCACGCGGCTCTGGGACTAGTCTCAAATGCAATTTAACGCAATTCGGGTAGTCCTCTTGAGTGCGGTTCATGAATGCACATCATGTAGACCTCTGGCAAGAGAAATCTGTCCTTCCCCACAGTGGAAAGAGGGAGAAGGGAAAGCGGGGGCAGGAGGAGATTAGAAAAGGTCAGTCTCACCACCCACTGCAGACTAAGCCCTCACAGATTACTTGTGACAACATGTGGCCCCTGGGAAAAAGGTTCCCCACCACTGATATTGAGCATTAGTCTTACGGTCAGAAATCCACCCTTGGCTGACTTACTTTTATGTAACACTGAGGAGCATTTCTCTCGGCTACCGTAAACTCCAGTGGCTTGTAAAATGCATGGTACACCTGATGGAAAGGGAGCGTCACAAATTTACTGTCAAGTTTTATTGATATTTTTGTATTTTTAACTTAATGTTTATATTTTTTAATTTAATGTTATAATTATGTTTAACTTATTGTTGTAAGCCGCCCCGAGCCTTCGGCAAATGGGGCGGCATAAAAATGTTTTAATAAATAAATAAATAAATAAAGTTACGTGCTTGTCTTTGGAATGTGTAACTACTTAGAGCAGGTGCTCTGATAGAGCAAATCATGACTTTATCAGCTCAATACACATGGCTGAATGAAGAGCCCAAGAGAGAAAGAGGCTCAGCTTCTGTTTTGCCAGACCGAGCAGCTGAAACCAGCAGCTGTCTGCTGATTTTTCCCAAGAGGTGAGTAAGCACAGAGGTTCCCAACCTTTTGGGGGTCAGTGGGCTTTTTTCGAATTTTGAGAATGTCGTGGGTGCTCCCACAAAATGGCAAACCTCTAAATTATCCACTCCGAATCGCCTCACAGCTTCTTCTTCTGAGAGACCTATGCAGCCATATTCCAGAGGAGTGAAAACTGTTGTAGGCACCTGAACAAAAGAGGTAATAATGTTACTTTGGAGGAAGGAGAAGGAGAAAGCCTTCAAGATGCTCTCCCTGTTTCTCTGCGGTTGCATGGAAGCAGGAGAGCTGCAAATAAGATACTGCCAGGAGCTGCTGGAGCTTAAACTCGGACCTTCAGTTCTGTGTACAACTGCTGAAACCACACGGCTTGGATCATCTTCCTGGGCAGCAGAGTCTCCTCCGGCTCTGGACTGGCTCCATCCGCCCACCCAGACGGGCCACTGAGCTAGCAAAGGGTTCGAAAAGACTTCCTCTCTGGACTGGGATGTTGCCAGTGCAACAAGGCCTTCTTGGCTCTGGGGCGTTTTCTTTGACTCTGGCTCCTAGCCCTGTTCTCGGCGTCTTGGAACATCTCTGACAGCTGCCTACCGTTGAGCTCTGACAGATAACACGCATTTTTTTTAACCGTTCAAAGAGCTGCGGGGGCTCAGGAAAGGAGAGGCTAAGCCTGGCCCATGGCTTTTCCCACTCCGCGTCGCTCGGCAAGGTGATGCTTTCCCCATGGTGGAGGACCTACGGGCCAAATGCAAGCACCTTACGTTTTCGCAGGGGGTGCAGGATAGCACATTACGGGACCACACGGGTCCCCATGCAGCGCTGCTGTCTTTGCTCTAATTCCCTTTTCCCCAGCACACTCCCTCGAGGGCTTCCTGGGATTTCCACAGTGTTTCCCTCCCATTTTAAACTGCTGCCTTGCCTCTCCCAAGGCTTAGACTTGGTCTGCCCCCTTTGGCCCTGCTAGGGAGCGTTGTCTGCCGACTGCAAAAGAAATGAAGGACAAGGGGGGAAATGTTGGTTCGCCCACACAGATGCATTCGAAGTCGATTGCAAGGGGCAGAGAATATTCTTGCTTACGTGGAGCTATAACGGTGGTTCAGGACATTCTTTCGTTTTTTGCAAGAAGTCCTTTAATTTCAAAGGCCACGGAAGAAAGTTTCAGAAGCACTCACATTGTCATAATCCATTAGTTCCTCAGACTGGCCAAACATCCTCCGAGCCAGCAGTTTTCCCGCAGCGATTGCCGTGGGTGTTAGCTCAGGGCGCCCCTAAGGAAAGAGAAGAAAATCGAGGGCAAGTCCAAACGTGCAGACCTGTGTGTGCTTAGGCATAACAGGCCTACAACTCAAAGCATCCCCCTGCCACCAGCCAATCGCTTTCTCTTGTGTCCACGGACCCAACCGAGTGAAGGCAGGAAACATTGCCCTTGCTCTGATTTGGCTTTAGACATCTTCACACATTGTCTGCTCTTCAAGCTAAAGCCTACAGACAAAGAGGAGGTTGAGAGGAAGAGGAAGATCACAGGGAAAGCCAAATGACATTACTGGGAACCAACAAGGAACTTTCTTTTCAAATCTTAAAAAGGTGGTGGGGATCACACTGTTGCTCCGGTGTTGTGACCTCCAAGGTAGAACCCTGATGCCTTCAGCTCTTCTCTTCGATGCCTTCAGAGAGGAGTTGAACCTCTTTGAACCAGAGGACCGAAGTCAATTTCCAACAGGCTCCTCGGCTGGACACGCACCAATCTGAGGCGGAAGGAAAGGAGTGGGAAAGCCAGAAGACGAGATTAAGGCTCCGGGTAGGAAGAACTGGCTGAAATTGCCAATGCTTCTGCCTAATGTGGCCCCACAAAGCTGTGAAATGGGATTCGGTCCTCAGCCTGAAAGAAATTCCATGCCTCTGTCCTCAAGAGTGGCTGTGAAAAATAAGTATAGGTGAATAAACAGTGTAAAAACAAGAATGAGCCACTGGAGTGAAAAAATACTGCAGTTTGGGATTAATCTCAGGGCTTAGGCAAATGACTATTATCTCTCTTCCAAACTAACATTCAAAATCTTCTGTTAACATTATTTGCCAGTCGAAAGCTGCTCTCCCCTCCCTCAACACATGTTTGCCTGAAATGCGGTTGCCAGTCCTTTCTGTGGCAGGAAATACAGATGTTATTTTGGCATTCCAGAACTGAACAGGAGATCGGAGAAGGAGATAAAATTGCAAAAGCCTTTGGCATGGATTCCATTTTTTAAAAAAGCTAATTACTAAAACATCCCTGCAGATATAAGCCGGGCTTTTCATACAACAATGACTTTAAGACTTCCCCAAGTAAACAGCTGACGCAAGCGTTCACTTTGAGCTTGTGCGGGAGACTGTCCTGTTGGGTTATTGTTGATCTGAATGCTTTGAAACTCTCAGCATCAAATACACTTCACTTTTGCATTCCTCGTGAGTAAAAACTGTTAAGTTGAAGGGAGGAGGGCCCCAAGGTAGCATAGTGTGCTTTCTGAAGAGGGCAGGAAAAGAATCTGCAGCTTTGGAAAGCTGCATCAAAGCAGCGGAGCGGCACCTAAGGTGGAACTCAGCCGCTGAAGTAAAATTCCGGGCAGCTCAGGTCTCCCTTTTAAGCCATGAAATCTCAAGAAGCATCTTCTGCCTTGCGAAGAACTGCAAAGGGAGCTCCTGCACTGCATCCATACTTGAATGATGTGACATGGGCCTCTACCAGGACCTGGGTGGAGAGCCTCTTTCAGCCCAAGGGCCATATCCACATCCCATTTCAGAGAAACCCTTGGGGCTGCATGCCAGGAGTGGGCAGGGCCAAAGGCAAAAGGGGCGTGGCTGAAATGCAAATGAAAACTCTGACCTATTCCAGCATATTGTAGCTTAAAGCATTTCCTGGGAGAAGCTAAGCTTTGGGACAGGCATTTCAACTATTTACGTATTTCTTTATTTAGGTGGGGTGGCAAAACGATTAGGAAATCACCAAATAACTGATGGTTAAAGGAAAGGGGTCTAGACTATCTGATGAACCTCAGAGGAGCAGAGTGGGACTCCAAGGAGACTGGATTTAGCCATGGGTCTGATATTCTCCACTCCCAGGGGGAGCAGGGCCTTGTCTGTGGTTGCCCCAAGAATGTACAACACATTCTCTCTTTGGGACTTTCATCTAGCCTTTGTGGTCAGAAGACAAAAGGTTAGTCAATGTTAGTTTTCTTTTCTTTTATTGTGTTTCTTTTGCATGGTTTCCGTTGTCCCATTTATCATCGTGACATTTGCATGGTGCTTTCAAGTGTGTCGCTTGCATTTTATTCATTTATTTAAAGCTTTTCTGTCCCTCCCGTCACCATGTCTTAGGGTAGTCATCTCGTAATCTTTTCAGCAGCTCAGTAAGGTAAGTAAATATCATCATTATCCCCCATTTTGCAAACGGAAGGACTGAGACTAAGAGAGAGAAAGCGGCTTGTCGAAAGCCAGAGGCAGTGTGGCGGGTGGAGGGCTTGACTCACAAATCTTTAATTTGGAGTCCTGAATCGTTGCTGTCCATGACACCTGCCAAAATAAAAGCACAGGAGCCCGGATTACCTCGGTTATTCGACTGGCTTTTGCCCACCTGTGCTTTACCTCCTGCTGCCCCTCTCTTTTCTGCCTCTGTTTTTTCTGCCCCTGCCTCTGTTTTCCCGCCTCTGTTTTTCCCTGTAATCTCCTATCCAAACTTTCTGTTTTACAAATAGCCTTTGGTCCACTGGACTCAGTATTAGCGACACTACCGGCAGCAAGCTCCTAAAGGCTTTAGCCCACTGTTTTTCCCAGCCTTTATTGGAAAAGTCAGAGAATGGGACCTTCTGCTTGCAAAGAAGAAGCTCTACCATTGAGCTATGGTCCTTTCCCTAGAGATGAAGCCAAGAGGGCCTCCCATGGGAAGGAATTCCATGGGCAAGTAACCATGACCCAAAAAGCCGTGCCTCTCATGTCCACTCATCCCAGGTTAGATGCCCTGGAGAGCAGAGTGGGGGGACAGGGAACCGTTCTGATGGTAATCGAAGGAGAGAGCAACCCACCTGGGAGAGAGCGGCCCTTTAGCGAGCATCAATTTGCAGATTCTAGATCCTTAAGAGGTCTTTTCCAATGCACAATCCATGACGCTGCCATTGGAGTAAGTAAGCGCAGTCCAACTCATCATCTTAATGGGGACCAGCTGTGGTTTGGGGTGCGTTCACTCCTAGAACTACCCCCACGGTGAACAACCCTAAGAGCTTTAGCTGGTGGACAGTACAGGGATAAAATAAAGGATAACCACAGCAATAATATCCTCCATTCCAGTATTATTTACTTGGACGGGCAGCATGTTTCCAGGGTCTCAAGCAGGGAGGGCTCCTACCTATCCACACCTATTTGATCCTTTAATGGAAGATGCCAGGATTGTACCCAGCCTGTGGCATGCAGAGCAGATGCTTTAATATGGATCCATTATCTCTTCCCTAAATAAGAGACCAAAGAGGAAGAGGAAGAGGAAAGAGCTTAGGATATGCCAAAAGCTGCAACTGATCCACAAGCCTCTTGATCGTGCAAAATTTTGCTTCCTTGAAAGAGCTGTGAAGAGAAGCGACCCTGGAACTTTTCACTTTTCACCAGTGCGATTCTCTATTCAAAGGGCAGACAATGCCATCCTAGAAACTGGGCTTTGTTGAATTTGGCTTCCGTGGGCACCAAGGCCAGTTCATTTCCGAAACAAAACTGATAGTGGATAGATAGAAAGGCATTACTGCCAACAACTGCAGAACTTGTTGCTGGATAAAGATCAGTAATAATCTCTAATGCAAAAGGGTCGCGTAGGAAGGAAATTACTGCTCCAGGTGATTGGCAGAGCTGCCGCTGTTCGTCAAAATGGGATAAAGGGCCTAAATCACAGATATTCCGACTCTCGCACACATACGTGCTGGGATATGATGACAAATGGGCACCGGTTATTAATCGGGAACAAAGGAGGGTTTCCTGTTATTGTCAAATAGTTTATGTAAACGTCTACCTCTGTTATGTCTCCGATTGCATAAATGTGAGGGACAGAGGTAGCTTCTCCCTCATCAACAATTATTTTTCCCGTCGCTGAGTTTATTTTCACTCCAACAGACTCCAAATTAAGGGCTTTGGTGTCAGGGGCTCGGCCTTGAGGAAAGAGAAAGAGAGACTTTGGTTAAAAAAAAGAGCTGTGAGCTTTTGCCAATTTAGTTCTATGAATAATCCAACCCAACCCTCTGTTAAAGTTTCTAAAATCGAGGTCAGCCTTCACCAACCTGAAGCTCTGCAGATGTATTGCATAAGCAACTTCCAATCCACTTTGGTGGTGGATTCTTGGAGCTGCAGCCCAAGCCATCTGGAAGGCACCAGGTTGGAAAAAGTTGGCCTCAGAGTAAAATGGTTGGTTCAGAAAAGAAGATGCCGTCTACGCTCTTAAATGGAGCATGTGACTTGAGTCTCATGAACACGTTCAATGGCTGCCTGGATTCACATCAACAAGATGTCCTGGAAAATGTTGGCAAAGGCAGTTGAACCCAGCAGTGTAGAGGTAATTTTGAAGCAGGTGCTCACCGTGACAGGCCCTTTAGCCAAGACCCCAGGGAGGTTCCGAAAATGTGGGGACCTTGGTTTGTCCCCATCAACAAACCAGTCAGAACAGTTGGCCTCCTCCACTTGGAGCAGGTCTTCTCTTAAGTTAATCAGTTCTGATTGTCCATTCAAGACCAGCCACCCCAAAATGATTCTCGGTACAAGAGAGGACAATATATTCATGCTGGGGAAATCCGCTGCTCCCACCTACTGTGAGGATGGCAGCTAAGCTCAGAGAGAGCAGGGGACCCCAAGGGAAATGCCAGATGACATCCGTGTCCCTGTGCATAAAACTTGCAGGATGGCATTCCCGCAAGCCCTGGGTCTCTTACAACAGTGCCTGAACTGGTAAAGCTGTAGCACTGCCGCTGACCCACAACCAGGAAGGACAAGCCTTTCTGCTGTAAAAGAAATGCTGGAAAATTAAGAATACCCTCCATATCCCTGTTAAATCTCAGTTCATGGACTGGCCCAGTTGGGGACTCAAAGCGTTTCCAGACGATCCATCACAAATTAATCTTGCAGGATGGTGAACACAGAATAAGCTGTTCCAGGCAACCCTTGGTGATGATGAAGAAAAGGAGGGGGCGGGGGGATGCCATGCAGCGGGACGTGAGAAGCAGAACTTTCAATAGGGAAGGCATTACTCTGATTTTGAGAGGTTTGCGTCCATTTTGGGAGATGTGAAGGGAAGGACATAACAAGCACATTCTCTCTGCAAACGGAGGGGTGGAGGGAGAGGGGCACAACGCTGCGTTTGATGTGAATGATTCGAGCAAAAATGGGAAATGTGCTTGCATTCTGAACACAAGAATAAAACCACGTCGGGCCTTTGATGTGGATGTAGGAAATTATCAGACAAAAGGAAACGCAGGCTCTTCAATGGGGTATCTAATTATAAATAAACATGTGATTCACCGTATTATCCATCTGCTGGAAGAGCCAGGTCCCCCCCGGCCCCTCCCACCCGCAAAACATTGTCACATCTGAATACCTCTGTGAGGACTTCTCTGGATTAATTTCAGCTGGTGAAACTGACACTTCCTTTGGGAGCACCGAGTGAAGCTGTCGGCACTCAGCTATCTGTCTGTCTTCCCTCCTGCCGTCCCCGTGGGATGCAGCTCCACTGTTCCTTTCGGTGCCCCCCGTTCCATGCCCTGATGCTATCACGCACCAAAAATAATAAACCTCCCAGACCTTATCTTGGCTCGGATGTGAAACAACTTCCTACTGTTGTATTTCTTTGTGTGCTGAGAAAGAAGTCTGGAAGGCTGGGCAAATGGGGAGCACACGGGGGTTGTTCTAGCTTCCCCTTTTTCCTGCCCAGGCAGAGCCAGGAGAAAAAGTTAGCACGCAATGTGACAGATGCTTTTCTTTTACTTTCTTTCCTTTTAGAGCCAAAGAAACTGCCACAAACATCCCCTCTCCCCATCAACCTGCCTGTGGATGGGTTTATAATGCTGCGACGAAAACAACAGCTGAGACGATCAAAACCTGAAGGATAACACTTAACCTTTCGATTCCAATCTCTCTCAACATCTGCATAGCCCGGTATTAAGAATGAAAGAAACCAAGCAAAACACACTTAGCACATCCAAGGAGTAACCTCATCCATTCTCCCACAAGTGCCCCAAGCGGAATTCTGAAAGCGGCAGCCATGTATGAAACTTCACGATGCATTTTTATTGGCTGCTAGCCATGCCAGCTCCAATTTCGAAAGTAAGAATCCATTCCGTATCCCTTCCATTAAGATCAAATAGACTCGGTTTTTTGGTTCGTGAAATTCTCCAGGATGTCTAGAGAGGCTTAGTTAACTCCAATTCCAGGATTCAAAAGCCCCAGCATGTTCTTAACTTGCATATTGGCTTTCTCCAGATGGTTAGACTCTTAGAGAGTAGAAAGGAGGGTGATAAATTGAATGGACATGGTGGTGCAGCACACTAAACCAGATCATAAAACCAGATCACTTGTCTGGCTAAGCCAGGATCACCTTTGCTGCCTCGTAAGGGCTTTCTAGATTCAAGAGGGCAAGCTGTAGAGCAGAGATCCCCCCGCCCCGCGCCATGATCTAGAGCTGCAGGCAGAGCGCGCTTGGTTCCCGTCCCTTGTGACTTGAGCCTTCCATTGTCATTTCTATAGCACATCCCTGGCAGTGTTTCCCACGTACATTCCTGGGAAAGCCCAAATTCCAAAACTTCTGGAGTTCTTAAAATATCTCCTCAGCATAACAAGATGTAAAACGCCACTACCCTAGAAATAATAGTCTTTGGCGGTCCCTAAACTCACAAAGACACATTAGCCGCTTCGCCCTGCTTCCAAAGGTTAAGAACTTGACGGCTGGCCAACCCCCTGGAGACAAGTTCTCAAGCCACTTCCTCCTCTGTAGAGGGCGCTGGCAAGATCATCCCCAGCGGGAACTGAGGTGATGCTTTGACATCTGGGATTTATCAAAACAAAGCTCCAAAGCAAAGCAAAAACAAAAGCTCCACAACTCATTTTTCTGGATAACCTAAATGGAGGTGGCTGCCAAGCTGAAAGGGGAAGCTAAGTTTTTGCTTAGAATCGAATGCCAAGGGGCTTGTCCATGAGGCACTCGTCTTGGCCGAGCAGCCCCAGGGCAGCGACGCATGGCTCAATGCTCTGAAGCAGCTCACTGGAGAACTTTCGGTTTTCCGTAGAGATCAAGGCTGGCGTTCCTCTATACAGCCAAACTTCTTTATGTCCAAGGATCTACCAACTTGGCACCCAAGGAGTCCAAGGATCTACCAACTCTGGACATGTTGGTTGTACTGGCTGCAGATGAGGAGACACGTGTGCCAACGCATTTGAAGAGTGCCAGGCCAGAGGAAGGCCAAAAGAAGCAGTCCAAGAGAGTTGCTCTTCTGCACAAAGCTTAAACAGAGAAGCTTCACCAGGCACCTCTCGGTACCAGTGCCAGAAACATCGCTGCTTTATTTCCAGGATGCTGCCCTCCAGCCCAAAGTACAGGGCAATGCAATTCGGTACCCAGGATGATTTAAGCAAGCATAAACTTATGAAGTATACTTGACATATTTGTTGTTGTTACATGCTGTCCAGGTGTCTCCAACTTAGGGAGACCCTACTAATGAAAGTCCCCCAGAAGGTCCTGTCCATGACAACCCTGCTCAGATCTTCAAAGTTCACGGCTGTGTCTTCCTTTAAGGAGTCCACCCATCTCAAATTTGGTTTTCCTCCTCTTCTGCTGCCTTCAACTCTCCCCAGCAGGACTGTCTTCCCCAGGGGGTTTTGCCTTCTCATCATGTGCTTGATTTATACCTGAGTTTTGCCATTTTTGCTTCTAGGGAAAGTTCTGGCTTGATTTGATCTAGAACCCACTTGTCCGTCTTTCTTTAGGTCCAGGGAATTTGCAAAGCTTTCCTCCGGCATTTGACACACGGGTCTTCATTATTAGAAGTCACCAAAGCTGCTTTATTCCATGTCAGGCAAATGGTCCATCTCACTCACTGCTATCTGCACCGCATGGTAGGCCAGATCCACCAACAACATGCATACAATGCCTATCGATCCTAGGGATCTTGCAGTTCTAAGCCGAAACACCTGGAGGGCTACAACGTGCCCACCGAGGCCCTACCCGGATGGACAGTGTGGCCTTCTCCAGTTCTACCTGGAGTCAGGGAGAAGAAACCGAGGACATTCCTCAGGCAGAGCCCCCAATGTCTCCCCACTGCAGGCTCGCCCCTTCCATATTCATTCTGCTTTCAAAACATGCTGGGAGCTTTGCGAGCGCATGCAACCAGCCTGCAGTCCCTTCGATAAAGTGGGCCTTTACTGAGAGGCTTCCTAGGTTCAGAAGCTGCTCAGACCAGGGGCACATGACCCCAGGCCGCACAAGGCCCTAATCAGGGCCTGCCTTCTGGCTTTCCCACGGCTGCACCCCCTTCGCCCAGCCCCACCCCTTTCCCATCCCACAGATTCTTTGGCAGTTCCTTGGCTTTTGTCTGCTGTATTTTCCATTCTAAAAACGTCTCTCCTAAGACTCTGCTGGCAGGTTACTGGCAGGAAGGGCTTGAAGCTGAAACAGGCTGCTATTTTTGCCTCCTATACCTCACAGTCTCTCCACAACTGAAAGCATCCTTTACGCTGAAAGAGTTTCAGCATTTCTGCTCCGAAGCTTGGAAATGAACTGCGGCCCACATGCTTCCTTCTGCTCCTTTATAATCAGCTTTCCCCTACTCCTTCCTGCTTCATTCCTGTCCCACCCAAACCATAGTTCAACTCTACGTGCAAACTGAACAAACCTTGCTTTTTACCACACACTGAGTTTTGCATCCAGATGTGGAACTACAAGTCTCATTCAACCAGACCTTTGAGCTTCGCCTGGTGGGAGCAAGCCCCGCTTTTTCACAAACAACAGAGTACGAGGACTTATTTCTGAAGGTCTGGCCCATAGTTCCACTGACCCTCTTCTCCTTAACAGCGGTTTGCTTAGGGTGAGCCTACACATAATGCATATTGTGAAGAAAACACATAGGGAATGTCCTCATGTTACCAGAATCAGAATCATTCCCATGCATGGT